CCGCTTAACAGTATCTTTACTCTCATGGACTTAGCTATTGTCCTTGCCTCGTAGGTTTTTTAACATTTAATATGACATGCCTGCAGTATACAACATCAAATACGATGGTGGAAGTTTGCGTATTTAGATCATGCTCACTTACGGTCTAATGCTTGTCTTGGTTGAAGTTCATATATCTTTCTTATTTAGATCATGCTCACTTACGGTCTAATGCTTGTCTTGGTTGAAATTCATATATCTTTCTTGAGAATAAGAAGGGAAAAGGAAAAGAGAATTACCTAATGTTTGTTTTCATACGCTGATTTTATGTTTTTCTGTGGTCTAGGTTGCTTCTCATGGCCTTGATCGTAGTTCAAAGGTGCTTCGTCAAACAACTATTGGTTCTTTTTTCATGCTTTAGATTGAAGTTCTTAATAGTAACAAGTAAGGTCTGACATGGAACTTAAATCGTTGCCTTGATGCTCTGCTTCTTTATAATACTCTTTTAGATACGGGTCAATCATAATTAATTGTTTAATCAGCTTCTAATTTCAATTTACAGGAAGATTAAGTTCTTAATCTTGCTGCCAGATGCCTAAGTTATTTGAGTTCCCAAATTTCAAATTTAGGATAAAATGCAGAGGAACTACTGATTTCTGGTGGTATGGTTTGATCAATGAAATTGCAGAGGTTAGTTGTGTTTCACTGACAATTTAGAAGCATTACAACTTTTCGTTTGGGGATAGACGTAGCCTTTCATATCACTTCTAGCAGCATGGTGTATTTATGTTTTTTGGGTGGGGTGTTGCTGTTTCTCTCATTTTCTTTTATTTTTTTTTGGTGTGCATGTGTTTGTGTGTGCCGTGTATGGATCTCCATGTTGGAGAAACGATGAGTCTGATTATTATATTTGAAAATTGTCTGATTTCTTTCTGTTGTTGTGACACGTAATTTAACTGAGAGCAGGTATAACCAAAATAATGGTCCTGTTGGAGTTGTGTATGTTCTTGAGCAACTCTAAACTATACAAGTCCGCCACAAACTATTTAGAAGAGTTCATCTAGTGTGTTTTGCTTTCTGTAAAATAATGAATTTGCTTTCGTGTGAAATAGTGAATTTATTGGAACAAAGAATGCTTTTTTTCCTGTAATTTGTTTAAAAAAAAAGAAAAAAAGAGAGGAGGAGGAAGGAGGTGGAGAATAATGCTGGATTTATGTCAGAAAGTTTAAATGTTTTACAAATGGATTTTCTCTATGTGGTATCTTGTCCTAAATGGAGATATGGCTTAAATGCGTGTATATCTTGGTTGATTTATTTCATCGTTTATTTGGACTCATGGAAAGAAGGCAATCTAGGAAGAATACAATCACACTGGTCTGCCTCAGAAGTTTTAATTACGCATGTTATTTCTCATGACAGCTTATCTAAAGCTTTTTCATGGCCAAGACATTGCATCTCTCTCACATACTGGTCTCTTAACAGGTAACTTGGACCAGTTGCTGCGAGTTGATACTGTCACGTAATGGTGGTGATAGCAGTCAGCTATATGCTTGGATTCTATACCCAATTGTACAGATAGACCCTCGTGTATAAATTATCTTTTCTATGTTTATTGTGCTTTTTCTGTACTTAATAGTTTAACCAGCCTTTGGGCTGCTCTTGTGGCTACTGATATTTATTGGCCGGCTGATCTCAAAGAGAGAGAGAGAGAGAGATACTTGGATTGTGCAAGTTTTCATTGGCTTGGGCTAAAATTGTGGTTGCATGGCAAGTATATAGATGTCTGCAGAGGTTTTATTACTGAGAACATTGATGGTACTAAAGGTGCATAACTCTGCGAGGAGAGCAATTTTTCATTTCACGTCCGAGAGGAGCAGAAGGAACGGGATGGTGTACGTGTTTAGTGCAGTAAGAGGACTGAAAAGGAGATCTTGTGAGTTGGATGTTTAAGCTTCCATCGGTCTCCTCTCTTTCGTTAGCTTGGCCAGGAATGATAGCTGCATGCAGATTGGTTGTGCTTGTAATGTTCTGTGGTTTGATAAACCTGGTTCTGGCTTTCGATAGCGGAACATTCCATGGGAAAAGTTGGAGAGAAATATTGGCACGAACTGCATTAAATTCTCGACTGCTACTCGTGCAAGTTTGGTCTCTGGAGCGGTTTTCATGGATTGAGGCTCTTTGTAGCGTACCTGCCCTTTGATGACTATCTTTTTCAAGACTCAATTGTAGAAGAGTTGATGCCTCTCACTGGAAGTTTGTACCGTTGAGATGTACAAATTGGTTAATTTGAAATTCATAATTTCATTGTTCCAGAACGTATGCAAAAACTTCCATGTTAGAGTCTGCTAATATTCCATTTCGGATTTTGTCCGCCGATAAATTTCGCTCAAGGCGGCTGCAGTGGTTAATATTACTAACTAGCTGGACTGATCGTTTGATCTCATTTTTATTGTACTCTCTTGCCGTCCAATGTGTATGCACTCTCTAATATCTCCATTGATTTAGTTTTTGCTTCTTTCCATTTTATTTTATATGTTTTTGGAGGTGGTTAGGAGGCGTCAATATCTTAGCCGCCACTAATTTTTGAGATAAAATAAGATGCCCTCCTGTCAAACCTCATGCTATCGCCTTCGTTTCCTGATCAAATTTGTGATACGAATTATGCCAACATCCACTGTATTCATCCAAATTAGGCCTATAAATTTTGTACACACATTTTGAGACAACCAAAACTAGCAAAGGCAAATGGGGGTGCAAAAAAAAACGCTCGCGCGCTCAAGTTAAGCTGTATGGTAGTCTATGACTCTTCTGTACGGGGCAGAAGCATTATTGTTATTATCCGGAAACGATTTTTTGGAAGAGGCACCAACTTCAGGTGTTGCATTTGATCAAGGCCAAACAATTCGTTCGGAGTGCTTGCGTGCGCTTTTTAAGTTTGAGAAATTGAGCGTAGAGAATACGAACACAACCATTTATAACGTATATCATCATGGCAACAGATAAAGAGTTTTCTTCCTGTTCTCAATTTAAAGAGGGAGGGTTTTTTTTTTTGCGGGTAAACTAATATTATGGCCATGGCCTATAATAGACCATTTTTCACAACAATTGAGTAAAAAATTCTCAATTCTTGAGCCTTGAGGGGGCAGCATGAATAAAACCAACAATTAAAGCAATTTCGGTGAGAGATTTTCTCCAGGGCCTATAATATGGTAAGAGAGCTCTAAATCTACGACTCCAACATGATATTTTGATGTAATAATAGCGAGAATCTCTTTGAAAGTAGAGCTTTAATGGCTCATCCAGACATTTGCAGGATGATTTTTATGACAGGACAGAATAGGAATAGGAAAGACCTAAAATTCACATACCAAAAAATGCTTATTGTGTATGTGTCAGTGCATGCACATCTTAACCTCCGGGGGCTGTACTCTTTCCCATTAGCACTATATAAACCTAGCCCCATAAACCAGCTTTGATATGCACGAATCAGTGCTCAGTACAAACAGTCCTAATCATCTTCTTTACATCTCCATTTGGCCAACAAAATCTCTAATCATCTCTTGGAGCATCATTAGTTCGCCCTCAGCCTCAGTTAAGATATGGCATCAAGCTCTGATAACAACTCCTCCGAAATCACAGCAACAGCTGGTTGGGAGATTACTCCATATCTCGGCGGCCTTTGTGGTGCTAAAGTAATTGTTTCCTCTTCCTTCTCTTGAACAAAACCATGCATTTTCAGTTTTGTTTCGTCTAGCTTGATAAATTCTCAAGCATTTATGATGAAAATTTTGTGTCATGCTAGCAGTTCTTTAACTGGATTATACTGTTTCACAACTGCAGAACTTCGATTCACCAGTGCAAGAAGAGACGCAGTCCGGTGGTGGTTTGGAAAAGGGAATTGTGCTAGCGCCAAATCCTCTATCTGTTTATTTGCCGGAAAAGGTCGCGAGACCTCAGCCTCAGGTTATATACTACATGTAGTTGTATAGAGATGGACTTTAATTACGTTCTCAAAAGTCTTAGTATTTGTAGTGGTTTTCAATCTGGGTGGTGTGTGACATCTATGCACTCTTTGCATCTTTTAACAGTTTGTAGTGCAGATATATATATATTAAAAGGTTTATAAGTCGAAATTTTAAAAAAAAAAAAAAAAAAAAAAACCATGCCTTTTCAGTTTTGTTTCGTCTAGCTTGATAAATTCTCAAGCATTTATGATTCGATTTTGACATGAAAATTTGTGTCACGCTGATAGTTCTTTAACTGGATTCTACTGTTTCACAACTGCAGAACTTCGATTCACCGGTGCAAGAAGGGACGCAGGCCTGTGGTGGTTTGGAGAAGGCAATTGTGCTAGCGCCAAATCCTCAATCTGTTAATTTGCCTGAAAATGCCGCGAGACCTCAGCCTCAGGTTATATACTATATGTAGTTGTATAGAGAAGGATTTTAATTATGTTCTCAAAAGCCTTAGTATTTGTAGTGGTTTACAACCTACGAACGTGGTCTGTATGTAGCGCTGTTGCATGACATCTATTCACTCTTTGCGTCTTTTAACAGTTCGTATTAAGAGGTTTATGAGTTTTTTAAAAAAAAAATCCGTGCATGAATGCTGCGTCTCTAACATCAATTGAGAAATATGAACAGCTGCAGCCTGTAATTGTTCAAGAACAGAAGACAAGAAGGGGAAGATGTCTAACCAAGACAAAGGTTGTTTCAGTTTCATATGTTTCCTTCAACTGTTTTAAAAGTCGTGAAGATCCAGTTGGTTATGATTTCGGGATGTACGAGGTGATTAATGTCATGCAGTTTAATTAGTACCTTTTGCTTCTAGCCGTCTGAGTAGCACGTCAAATATTGAAAATGCGTGATTCAAACTCAACTCATATAGAGTATGTGGCTGCGATGTATATATATATATATATATATATATGTAGGTTGGATCTGCTCCTGAGATGGAAGAAACAATGCCAGGCATGGCTTTTTATGACCGCATCTTACCATTCCCAGCTCTTCTCAGAAATTGGAAAAGGGAGACAAGACAACGTCCCAGTGGTGCACAAGATAAGGTACCAGCTAGCGCTGCCAATCCGATTATTTGCTAGGCTTTCCATGTCGATCTCTCCCTCTTTCTGTTTTTCTTCTTATATATATTTTTTTATGGATATACAGAAATGACGAAACATATTTCTGTTGCAGTTTTATTTCCATCCAACGTGCAAAAGAATGTTTCGATCTTTAGTTGAGGTCATCAACTTCATCAGAAGCAACAACACTATAACATCTAACGAGAGGGAGACCAATGCTCAAGAGCTTCAGGTGAGTTGATCAGGTTGCTACTTGTAAATATCACAGCTTTACTTGTGTATAAACTAGGTAATTTAGATTTACATAGTCTTGCCTTGCCTCGAGGAGTTTCAATCACTTTGTAAAATGTATTGCAGGGTCCTCAACTGCTTAAATTATCTGAAGACCGAAACCATAGGAAACGGAAATACAATACTAGTAATGTTGGTTCCGAATCCAAGAAAGAAGAATCTTCCCAGTTTCTTGGCGTACAGGGATGAAGACTAAAGATCAATCAGGAGTGAAAGAATTTTTCGATGACGCATATGCAAACCTCATGAACTTGCCCCCATCAACCCACGGGGCGGCAATCATAGAAGAGGACAAGAAGCTTAGGGTTGAGGCTTTCCTTCTTGATGCCCACGAAAACCTTCTCAAGGGTTTCCAGAAGGAAGAAACCAAAATTAGGATTCATCCCCAAACCATTCGCTATCAAAATGGCACTAGTCCTGGAGAGATTGATGGTGAGGTGATGAACGGCGGCGAGCCTTCTCAACATGCCCGCCAAAATGCGGAGCCATCATCAAAAACTCAGGAAGGCGCAGGGAACATTATCCCGGAGCCGCCATTACAGCAAGGTGGGATTGGGAATGCAAATGCAGATAATAAGGAAGCAACGATGAATCGGTGGACGGATAAAGAAATGGAGGTGGTCGAAATTTTTAGCCAAGGTTTGGGCGGCGACGGCAACGTGAATAATCAACAAGATGAAGAAGACCTTGTGGATTATTCTCACTTTCTGTTTGAGCCTGATCCTCCAGGTCTTTTTTGAGACAAATAAATAGAGGCAAATGGCAATAGCAGCAGCGAGCGATGTACACACACATTCATTTTCAGATAAAAAAGGAACTACCTTTTTTTCTGTTCTTTCTTATCACATTTTCATGACAAAATTGTGTAGTTTTATGCTAGCAAGTACTTCAGCGGAACCTATGGAGGATGACAATCTAAGTTTTGTTTTCACCTTCCTAAAAATCTTTCTTATTCAAAAGGACAATTAAGAGTATTTTGTGTGGATGAGGAGGCCAAAAAATAAGGCGGAGGCGGGAGTCGTCCAACAGAACTTACCCAATTCGGAACTGAAAGTAATTGCTGACATTAATGCAGGGAAATAAGAAGCAGTCTTCTCAAGTAAAACTCAAAAAACTGATCGATGAGGCTGTAGACAACATTATTATTATTATTTTCTTTTCTTTATTTGTTTGGTTTAGCAAATTTGCGTGAAGAGATCATGTCCCGGCCCCCATGATGACTGGCGAGTTCCTAAACCAGGCCTTAAGTTAAGTTAACCTGCGGGGGATTTTCTACCAATTCAAGCATTTTAAATTTGGGAACCTTTATTCAATCCTTCAATGCCTTGCTAGGTTAAGAGCAATAATCACACACATCGCTTTTTTAATTAATAATGATAACGGGATAAATACTGCGTACGCCTGCAAAATCCTTCGATTCAATGCTTTCTATTTCGAACCATTTGGTACTTATTTGAGGAAATCTTACGTATAGAAAATAGATGCAGATTTATTTTGCGATTAATCATTTAATTGCCCGACCAAGACCAATGGTCTTCCTTCGCTTTTTCTTTTTCAGGATGCATAAAACTCGGAAACTGAAGACAGAAGAATTGCTGGGAATCTTATCCCATACTTACCAAGTAAAAACCTTTTCTTAGCCTGGCGGAGGTTAGATGGTTACTGGATCCGCGTAGTAATTGTTGCTATTGTGTGGGTATGGGTACCAGCAGCAGAAAGGTTGGGAATTGTGTGGAAAGATGTAGGGCGTAGGCCAGGATATGCGCAACATGTAATGTAAGACAAAAGGTAAAAGGATCAGCCAACAATTTGGTTCTTCAGATAAACAAAGTAGGGTTGGGGTTGGGGTACATTTGTCCCACATCGGGGTTGGGGTTGGGTTTGGATTGGGATATAAGTCCCTGGGATTGCCTCAAGAGTTGCCGGCTTTTGAGGTTAATTCTGGGATTAGGTTTATAAAACAACAAAAGTCTGATTCAGGCTGTTGAAAAAAGATAAACAAAGTAGATACAGAAGACCAATGCAGAAAACCAAGATCAAGAAATGACCAACGGTTACAATAGCTGAATAGAGGTGCAAAAGCACTAACCCAACGAATATTGTCAACCGAGTTGGCAATATGCAAAGAACAATAATATGACAGAAACGCACGGGTTTTGCAGGCAGAGGGCAAACTGCAAAGCAAGGTTAAGGAAGCTCTACAGAAGCAGAGGCAAAGCAACCTTTTTTATCAGCAGTTGGGCTCGACAAATTTTGATTGACACCCCATCTGTTCAAGGAACATAGTTAGACGTGAGTGTTTAGCCGCCCACAGCTCAGCCAGCTTCTGCTCCTTGGCCTCTGCATCCCTCCTTAATCCACCTAGCTGCTCCCTGTATTCGGCTTCAATCCTATCCAGAGTAGCCTTCTGCTCTTCCTTCAGTGCTTTCACCTTTGCCTCTATTGCCTCCATTTTCTCCCTCCTCTTACAGGCCTTCTCCGATTCCGCCTGTAACTCTACCCTCCTCAACCTCCAGGCTGCTTCCTTCTTGTGCACTGCCCAAGCACGCTGCATTTCTTCCAATTCTTTGCAGCATTCCAAGAGTTCAGATACCACCGCGGCCTTCTCTCTGGAGGGGGAGGAGGCACCATCCCAAGACATGGCAAACTGTTCGAGACAGGATTTTTATCGTCTCTATCAGGCTGCAACCATGCTGCTCCTGGTGGTGGAACCACTGAAGGTGAAAGGCTTAAGGTCACAGAAGGTGATGATGGCCTAACAGGCACACCAGACGTAGAATTTGAAAGCCATGGAGGAAGTAATATTGGCGGAGAAGGAGCAAGTGGATCAGTGCAGACAAACTGGCCGCTCGAGGTAGCCATGAGAAATTTTTCGACACTATGCTTTTTAAGCTGTTTCTCAGTAAAAGTCTCCAAAATATGACTATTGTATTTTTCCCTCCTCAGCCGGCTAATATCTCAGTGTCCTCTTTGCTGCTTCTATCATAAAAACTTCCCACGCAGTTCAGCCAAAGACTTCAGCTGCGAATTTCTTCATCCAATTACTTTACGTGCTAATTGGCCTGAAGACGGATAACAATGCTTTGCATTGAGATATCAGGCGCCGCTTTCTTGGGCCATACTGTCTCGTAGAAGCAAGCAACAAAGCATCTTCTTCAGTTTGCCCCTCTTTAATTTCCAGGTGTAAACACCACTGCCCCTGGCCACAAACTCTTAATCATGTGTCTGGTCGATGCAGAGGGAATAAATATTGGCATTATTTTACCCTCAGTCAAACAAAGCTAATGAAGCATGAGCAGAATTGTAGTGCTGATGCAAACATAAACAGAATTGTTGCGATTCGACCATATTGAAAGTAGCATGCAGGAGTGATTGTGGCAGCCATTTTATTTTTTATCACGGAGAAAAGAAATGTTTGGAGTTTTGAAGTCCACAGGCCAGAGGTGGGTTCAGTCAACACCCCCACCCCCTCACCTCCCGCCGCCCAAAAATAAATAAATAAAAGCTTCACGAACTGAATAGTACTATGTTTTTTTGAACAGACATGAGCTATACTTAGCAGGAGACATGAAATCGTCGTGCAAGATGCTGGTCATAATGATTCATGAAGGGGACGAGTGTCCATTTAAGGCGAATCCAGATGCGGTAGTGTTGTGATTACGTATACATGAGGCTGAGAGTTCACATCAAGACCAGAGATTCATAAGTATAACATCAAGCAAAAAAAACTGACTAGAGGGCAAGTCAAATAGTCAATTACGATGCAGAACAAGAATCAAAAAGAAGAATAATAGACAAACCTTGATTGATAGTGAGCTGAACAATTAGTTATATGAATCCCTAACTCTCCCTAGATCTGAATTTTGTTTCGAGTTGCATCGTGAATTCCCAAAAGCAAACAGATCGTTGCTACACGATAACATGCTGAAAACTGTAGATTGGAGACTAACCATCACGGTTTTATAACAATTTACTTATTGAGCAAGGCTAATTGATGTCTGATCTGCAATAACTAAATCACCTACTATATTAGAGGCACGGATGATATTTAAAGCAGTCGATCTGAGAAAAGTAGCCGGGAACAGAAAATGTGCTGCCCACATCAATAAATAAATACGAAAATCTCCAGCAACATATATATCGCAGGGTAGACGACTTGCTTAAGAGTTAGCGTAACATGATGCGCATAATTGAAAGTTTTACTAGAGAAGGGAAGGGCTACTTTGTTCTCCGTACAGTGGGAATAAGGAAATCAAATCTTTATCTAACGGTGATAGTAGGAATTTCTCCGACTCAACCAACAGATGTACCAGAACTACTACTAATATGCCCTAGCCACCCCCCCCCCCCCAAAAAAGACAACTCGTCAGGGCAAATTCAAAGCTGGTCCTAAAAACAGATACTACTATGATTTAATTCCTTTCTTTTTTTTTTTGGGCCGGGACCATGAAGAATAACTGGAACTGAAGAAAAGGAGTTGCATGTGTTTTCCGAACAGATGGCCCTCATAGCAAACACTACTCCGTTGCATCTCTCTAGCCAGTAAGCATAATGTAACCATAGAAAACCCGCAAACGTTATCAATCTTGATATCAGAGAACAAACAATGTATCTACACAAACAAGACCCAAGTGTTTTTTTTTTTTTCAAAAAAAGAAGAAGAAGAAAATGAGGAAACAAAAGAGAAAATGAACTTACAGGGTAGGATACAGAAGAAATCCCAGCACTGCATGCTTTCACTCGGCAAGAAAAGAGGTGTCTCTCTCTGATGAAGAAACGATGGATGGAGTAGTAACTCTGTGAAGGCTGGACTTGGACTTTGGAGCGAAGTGAAGTGAAGTTGGGCGTGCGAAGAAGAGAAATGAGGGGTGGAGACCCAGAGAGAGAGAGAGAGTAGGCCAGTAGCAGCAGAGACCGGAGACGAGCGGTTCTCTTTTATGTTTCCCGGATATCTAAGTGACGCGCCAGAAGAATGTGATGACGTAAATGTTGGAGCAGGCTTCTGAGCCTCCAAACGTAGAAGTACTACTAGCATCAGCGATTTTATACAACTCTCACGTGGCCAAAATTTCTACTACGTTCTTTCTTTCTTAGCTCTTTTTAATTTTTATAAAAAAAAGAAATTGAATGAATTCGACTTCAATCATCCGGATCAGACCGTATTTCAAAAGCACAAATCCTTTATAAAAATTCTTACAAATCCTCAGTTAACACAATTCTCAGTCAACAACAAAATTCCAACATACGAATCAACTTTTCTTTTTGTATTCTTTCTTAGCTATTATGCAAAACATAGCCAAAATTTCTACTGCATCCTTTCTTTCTACAACTAGGAGCTGTATAGCACAAAATATTGTAGTAGTATTACGAGGCAATCAATATGCACCGTAGATTATTCCACAGTCATGTTTACTGCAATTTTCGATGCCCCCGATTGGGTAATTTGGGAGGTGGTCCCTTTTTTACCATCTCAATTTTCTTTCTTTTACCAATTCCCCTCCCTGGCTAAATTTTCTTTTTCAGCTTTTATGAAAAAAAAAAAAAAGAGTGTAGTTGACACGCTATTTATAATAAAAATGAATGCCATAATAATGGCAAAATTGCTGGGCGCACGAGACCCGCGCTGTTCGAGAGTCGAGACTTGTGACGGTCATGATGGGAAGGCTTATCCTGTTTTAGCGTATTACCGCCACAACTAACCACTGACCCAATGGCGCAGTGACAATCGGGGAGAGATTTAAGTACCCTTTTGAGCTGTTGGCGAGGGTTCGAATTTCATCAACAACGAAAAAAATTTAATTGGATCTGGCTACTCACTAGCCCTTACAATAGTTTTCTTAGGCTCCCCTTCC